TTAAGTAGTAACGTCTAAACTGTCTCATCGGTTGTGTCCTAAACTTAAATGCTTATCATGTGGTTTTAGATTTGAATATCAGATCGGGCCAAAATCATTTATTAAGTTTTAATGTAAAGAAATTCTCATTAACAGACCGCAGTCATGAAGTTGGCAGCCCCGAAAAGCACGTAAAGTCGTTAGTCCCGCACCTGGTTCGTCTTCGGTCGTGTTGGATTGCCGTATCATCGGACTATAAGAGTCAGGGAATAAAGAGTGCACCTATGCTTGCGCACACACTCGTGCGGTATACTCCTGCCTTGTACAGATGCCTAGACTGAAATTCGGTCTACAGGAATTAAGGTCATAATTGAGAATAATAGGATTTACTTTTATTATGTGCTAAATTTATGTTTGCGTTATTTTGATTAAATAATATTTTGAAAGGAATATATTTGCAAGCATCGTAAACTTATACAACAGTATACATAAATAAATTTACATCATCAAAATTGCATTTGATACATACCGTTATTTCACTTTATTCTTATTACCTACGTAAAATATCACAACACGAAAATAAAACCCAAATGAATATGCCCTACAAGTCTGCACAATATCGGCGGCCTTACAAATTTATCGGCCTGAGTCACACATCGTACAAACTGGAAAAAAAAACATATGCATTTCCTGACTTGGGGGCGAGCTACGCTCTTGAAGTTTTCTACATGACTCGCTTAGCAATATATATCTATGAAAATGACAGAAATATGTTTAAGTATTATTTTAATTTAAAAAAAAAACTCTAATAATAAATATAATAAATAATATCTGCAGCAAGAATAGGTCGTCGACCGGGGAAAGACCACGCTCACACAAAAAACAAGCGTCAAATAGCAGGCATAATGCTGTTCTGTTTTTTGTATTGATGAGTAACGAGAACCGAATACCTTTTTACTGTTAGTGAGACATTCCATCTCAGTCCTTTGAGATGACAATTAATTTGCAGTTTGGTCCTTAATCAAGGATAGTTGTAGGTGTCTATGGGCTACAGTACCCACTTCCGAGACTGTGTGCTCATTTATCATTGTATTGCTCTTAAAAAAAATCCCATTGCATCCTGTCAGAACTAACTATCGTAAAAACCTGACACGCAAGTACCTTCGATGGGTGGTGGTAGTACCGTGTCTTATCAAAATAGATGTCAAACACCTACAACGACATAGTGGATCTATGTAATAGAAGCCACATTTCTGTAAATAAAATTACCAATCCATCTGTCAAGCTTATGATAAATCGTTCCTAAAATGATAGATACATAGTTCCCATAATGAGAGCCGATAGATTATGTGGCTCAAAACTGTATTTTTTAGTATTCCTTGGGGTATCTGAAGCAGTACACTTGGGAAGAGTTGTAATAATGATGATGATGATGAAGATTTCATAATTTCTCAGACCAACTCTCAAACAGAAAATAATTCCTACCGCCTAGTATAACCCACATTGTATTATACGGAACAATATATTGCAAATAAGATAACATTTTTTAAATTTATTGCAAAATTTACTAGAAAGTAAAATATCATAATGGTCAACAATAGAAACAGTTAAATTTGATGAGAAGCCACCGCAAACAAACGCAACAACCCTCTTAACTTAATCCGTTATTAATAATCGCTATTACTAAGAGTGTTTTTATAATATTTATTTATATCGATAATTATTTCGAATAAAATTTTATACGACGAAAAATGACATAAACAATTATATGAGACCGTACTTTCAATTGATAAGAAGCAAGGCTGCTAATTATTATTAGATTGAAATTATAAATATTTAGAAATGGCTAAAAGCCCTAAGTATTGTATATATTTTTGCAATGTTTTTTGGTGCTATGTTATTTCTTCAGGTCTACAAACTGAACTTTAAAATTAATGGCAGTCCATTACAGAGTTAAAGTACATCAATAAATTAAAGACCGTCCACTTCAAAATGTTTCGTAGAGTGAAGAATGCAGAAAATTTTCCGAAATATATTTTCGGATGTCCTTTTGTCCGATTTCGATTACCATAACAGCTTTTGAATTTTGTGTATTTTTATAGGATAGGGTGACAAATGATCACACAGTCCACCTGATGGTAAGTGGTTGCTGTGACCCATATAGACATCTACATTCATCCTCAGTAAATAATCAAAATGCAGTTGCGTCAGCACCCGTGAGGACTAAGATGGAATGCCTCTTTTCCAGTTAAATGAGTCTCCGGTTCTCTACACTCACCATACGAAACACAACAGTGTTAAGCTGCCATTTTACGCTGGTATTCTGTGAGAGCGTGTTCCTTCCCCAGTCGAGCCGACCCATACGTGCTACAACTATACTACTAATGTAGCTGCAGCAATATTTTCTCTCACTCTAAATTTATACTTCTCTTTCACACTTTCATATTGTGGCCTTTCTATTCTTATACGGTGTAATGATGTAATAGTATAGCCGTGTCCACCTCTTTATTTCTTAGCCTAGTCCTCAAATAGTAATTTTTTGATACTTATTTTCTATGACTTCGATATTATAATTCAGAAATTTAAATTAAAGTGTCAAAACCCAGTGAATTTGTTATAAATTGCACCATTAAGTAGGCTTACGAAAATACTGCAAACTAAGCCTTTAAAGTTTTGAATACTCCCCTAATTAAATCCCTAGCTATGGTGGCAGAGTTGTAAATTATAGTTACATTATTGATCACTAACAGGAATTGGAATTAAAGTGGACGCAAAGTACTAGTAATAATACATCATTATAATAAGAGTTAGAGGAGTTGGTCAAGCTAGTGGATGACTTTGTGTATTAGGATGTATGTATATAGAATGACAAGTGAATGCAAGCTACATACTAAATGGGACTCTACATTGTATTGTGGTAAGTCAGAATGTCTCAAAAAGGCACTTATAGAAATTCGCAATGCTGTGTTAGTCCCTACTTTAATGTACGATAGTGAAAGTATACGATGTTGTAGAGCTTAAAAAAAATCAGGTTATTAAAAATTATGTTAGAAGTAACCCTGGATGACAGGTTCAGAAAGTGTATAATAAGAGAAAAGTGTTTTATTTTTATGGAAGAGGAGGCACCCGATGATAATTGATCACCGCCGCCAATGAACATCCGCAACAGCAGGGGATTTTGGGTGCGTTGCCGGCCTTTAAGGAAGGAATGTAGGATTAAGAGAAAGGAACACTTCGACGGTCATGAGAAAGAGTGAAAAAGCAAATTTATTTCATGTAAGATAGGCTAAAGAGCTGTATAGGAATCGTGACAAATGAGAATCACTAGTCTCTGCCTACCCCTCCGGGTGACAGGTGTGAGTATTTATGTAATGTTTTTGAAAGCAAGTCATCAAATACACTTAATACATATATTATCTTATATGTAATTTACTAATCTCAAACAAAGTTCTTTCATAGATATATTATAAATACGTAATCTCTTACGCCTGTCACCTATAAGGATAAAAAATATAAACGACAATATACTTGAGAATCTTTAGGACAAATTGTGCAATGCGCCTCCGATAACAAATTGACAATTACAAGAAAAAGAACACTAAGTGCCAATTTAAGTACCAAAAATGTGGCCTCATTTTGATTACTGATAATTATATTTTTGAATGACCTAATTTCCTAACAGAAGTTTTAGAAAAATAAAGGTTTAAGAAAAATGTAATAAATATATCTTTGCACATATTAAATTATTTATAAAGGAAAATATTAAAATAAGCTTAAATATCATAAGTATCAGTTTCTAAATACCATTTTCATCTAACCACCAAAATAAAAATGAAAAATATCAAAATATTTGTCGCTTACGAAAAATAAATTACGCTAAGAACCTTAATTTGCAAACTGCCTAAACGACAAAAAGTATGTTATAGAGTCATGAGATTAAGACCAAACGCGCAAAAAAGACGATTCCAACGATATTATAAGCTGATTTCACAAAGATGTTGCTTTCTTTTTTAGTGTAAGGTAACAAATTAATTTATAATCTTCGCGTGACTTTATATGATCTTTGCTCTTTTATGTTTAACATTTTATTCACAACTTTTACGTTAAACGTTTCATAATAAAAATAAAAATAAACAAATATAATAATGTGTAGTACTATACGATGAAGCTGAACATATTATTTGAAGTTCAATATTAAAATAATCATTAATATAATTTTATTCGTCTAGTAAAGATATATATTTTTTGTAATTTCTTCGAAAGGAGTAACGATTACAGTACAGATGCGAATACCAAGAAGTTAAAGTTTCCAATTCCAATTAATATATACTTATCAGTTGTTTACGTTTTAAGTAAACAAATTAAGGGCAATTGTAATATATTTTCAGGTAATTGCTTTAATTAAAACTTTGTAAGAATTATTTCTTGGAAATGTTAAACACTTGTGGATTCTCGTTTTAAGTGGCTATGGTACTTGAATATTAAAAACGAAATATGGGGATTGTTATTAATAAGCTGATTTTTTTTATTTATATTGTATTTAATGTAATTATAAATATAAAGTAAGTATGTATAAGTTTACAAAATAAAATTGTAAGAGTATGTACGGGACTTTGTTTTCTAAAATATTTTGCATGGTTTTTAAATAAAGGGACATGTAAAAGTCAATTCAGTTAAAACAAAACATAGAAAAATAGTGGTCCATTTAATTCATTAATTGATTTGTATCAGCCTATTAAAAGTTCAGTGATGAACATAGAACTTTTTAATAGATAGTCTCATAGGAGAGATTTTTTCCATAATTGACACGCATTAATTACATCCGCACCTACAGCCCGCATGGACTTTGAGTTGTTTATAGGAGATGCTGCTACCAATTTCCTGTTTTAGATGCTCTCAGTGCTCTTACGGCACATACGGGATAACGAGAAGTAACTAGTAGTTATAGATAAAAAAAAAAATATTTATGCCATTATCTTATAACAATACTGATGTTATTTTTTCTTTTCCAGATCTAAGGTATGCGGGCTCAGAAGAAACCCGCTGCCTTGCTTCTGTTGCTGTTTGCAATAGACGCCCTTCATGCTAGCAGACGGAAGCAAAAGGACAAACTTATTCAAACTACTACAAACATATGTGACATAAGTGATCGAGATTCAAAGATACATTGCTACTGCGATCATAGTCAAGAAATAAACGAAGCTGTTAAAACAGAATGCTGGGTATTCAATGGAGGCATAGAAAAATCTGATTCATTATGGTCTAGTTTTATTTCTCAGTCGAATATTGAGAATTTAGCCTTTAATGTAAGAGCTGATGGTGGACTAAGCTTTGTGCCTACTAATGTTTTGAAATACCTTCGAAAGTTGCGCAATTTCAGCGTCAAATTTAGTTCCATTAAGAATATTGAAAGTTACTCCTTTGTCAATTTAACGACCGTACAAGAAATGACCTTAACGAAAAATCAAATTGTAACTTTAAGCAAATATGCGTTTTTCAATTTACCGAACTTAACTATTCTTACTTTAGACGAGAATAGAATAAACAAACTAGTTACAGAAACATTTTATGAATTACCTAGTCTAGAAAAATTATATTTAACAAGTAATAATATAAGTGTTATTGAAGGTGGAACCTTTAAACACTTAGTGAATTTGTTAGAATTAGAATTGGACAGAAATAATATAAGTGAACTCAAAAAAGAGTGCTTCAACGGATTAGCTAATCTTAAGCGCTTAGACTTGCGAAGAAACAATTTGTCCATTTTAAACTCGTTCACCTTTACAGAGTTATGGAACCTGCAGGAATTGTTGTTAGATTACAACGAAATATACATTTTAGCGCAAAGAACATTTGACGGATTATCGCAGTTAAAAAAGTTAAGCTTAAGTCACAACAAACTTGTAAGTTTAATAAATGGATTGTTCGAAGGTGTACGGGGTCTTTCGGCATTAGATTTAAGACACAATAAATTGAAAAAATTCACATTTGATAACGTAAGGCCCATATATGATAATCTGAAGAAACAAAAGAGTTTTATTTATTTAGAAGGTAATTATAATTACTTTAAAAGTTTTACGTAAATATTAGCTATACAGGGTTATTTTGCAATATACAGCCAAATTTGCAGATGGTTCAGAATAAGTAATATGGGTTAACGAATAAGAAAAAATAATTAAGAAATCTGTCATTTTTAATCCAGAATGGATTGTCATTCATAAATATGTAAAACCTACTATTTTACGGATGCTTGACGGTCCACGACTATACTTTTCACTAGGAGTTTTCTTCCTCATACAACTTCTCTGTGGAATTGCTTACCAACGGCGATTTTTCCGGACCGATACGACTTAGAGACCTTCAAGAAAAGAGCTTACACCTTTCTAAAAGGCCGGCAACGCATCTGCAATTACCCTGGTGTTGCGGCTGTTCATGGGCGGCGGTAGTCACTTACCATCAGGTGAGCCGCATGTTCGTTTGCACCCTCTTCTATAAAAAAAATACTATTCATATATTCGTACGGGTCAATCGGTCGTCAAAATATTGTGAATTAAATCGCACATAGAGGAACGCGCGAACGCGTAATCGTTGCCCATAAATCACATTCAATTTGGGATAGTTTAAAAAAAAAGTAGAAGCCTTATTTACTCGTATTTTCAAAAACTGCAATAACTATATATCATTATTTATATATTTGACCTTAAGTATAAAATTTGACTAATCTTTGTAAAAATAACTCTGTATAGTTGGGTCCGAACACATATCTTTCCATCTACTTCAATATTGTAAAATACATTTCTTTAAATCAATGGACTTGTCCGAAAATCAGTTAGAAATTACGGTACTCTTACAGCAAAAGCTAAGCCCTTTTCAGCTATAAAACTTTTGTTTAAACGTAACCAAAATGTTTGCTTTTTACAGGAAATGAATTTGATTGTGACTGTCACTTAGCATGGATGCACAAGTTACGTCATGAAGCAAGAAGCATTAAAGTGAGAACCGCTTTAGAAAATTTTGTGTGCAAATTCAACGCTGATCCATCGATAAATGTGCATCTTACTTTTTATGAAAAAAGTGTTATTGAAAGTAACAATCTTTTTGAAGATGATAAGAATCATGACAAAGATTATAAAGATAATTTAGATGATTTATTTCAAGATGAAACAGAAGAAGAATTCGTTGAAGAGCCAAAAATAATTAGAAAAGAAAATGAGAAAACTTTATTGCAAATTCCTGTAGAATTATTGCCTTGTCCCGCAGCCACAAAAAGTGTAACTGATAAAACATATACCTATCCCTCACAAAATGAAGCAAAAGATTACAGAAATTTAATAATTACATCAAATTCCTACAAAGCCTGTGCAACAATTTTTCCATTTGTATTTTTAGTACTGTTACATCTGAAAGGTCTCTACTAATAAAAACTTAAAATTAAAATTAATTTATATTTACGAATGGTTTAATTTTAAATATTATTTTACTTTTGTCGGATTAACTCAAAAAATCAGAAAATAAAAACTTATTACGTAAAATATTAAAATCTTTGAATAGAATTGTTTTAAAAGTCGAGCTTTTATGTATTTGAATATTTATTATCATAACAAAATATACAATATTTTAGAATAAACAATATTAGAAAACTATAATAAAAAAAAAAAAAACTAAAACTGTTAACTTAATTATCATACAGTCCTACTCTCCGTGGTATAGTGCCAAATAGCCTTTTAACGAGAAAAGAACCAGCCCCTTTATCCCCAGCAGCAACAACCAGTTGCGGGTAGAATTTCTTTAGGAAGCTTTAGCTTCTGTTAAATATTTTTAAAAGAGTTTAGTTAGAATTTTTATAAAACTTTGTTCATTAAATATCATTAAAAAATCTGTTTTATGATGAATAAAACGAAATTAGTTTTATAACAAATGAAACGTGTTTTTAAGAATAATTATAATGTACATAATATATTTAAGAATGTAAAATTTGTGATATACCTTTAAGAAACTCTGTTTCTTTAGTTCTACTTTTCATTTATAGGAGATACAAAGAAAAAATATTTGTTTCTGTTATATTTTAAGAATAATAATATGTGTCAATATTCTATTACAGTGTAAATTATTATAAAAATATCTCTTTAAAGTTCGATTTAAACGAATATTAAATAAATTACTTTATTAATGTTTGGGTGAGTTTTAAAATTTTTATGAATAAAGTCTAGGAGTAAAATCCATATCCGAATCTTCAATAAAAATGAATATATAAAGGGAATGTCAAAAATTATTGACTGACCATTTTGTAAATAAAATCATGAGACTGGTTAGTGAAATTATCTGAATATTTAGTAATTTTAATTAATATTTTTACCGATCTCAGTTAGTTTTTGACAAAGTGCTATTTTTATTAAAATTAAAAGTTACTACGATAAGTTTACTATGATAATGCTTAGTAATGTTAAATGTATAATATTACATTTTTGTTAGTAAATGAGGTGATACATACACGTTTTAATTTTTTTACTTGTTTCGCTTCTGAATATCAACATATAAAATATAAATCACTTCTTATTCTGACTACATTTGCAATATTAATTAGTTTATTAAAAATCCTTCTAAAAATGTAACGAAACAGCTCTGTTCCACGACTTACATGATTATTATTAAGGATTACATAAATGTGCGTGGAAATATAGATTAAATATTATTACTAAGCGATTTCAAAGACGTAATGTAAATCTTAATATTTAAAGTAAAGATACGTTCTGAAGTTTAAGCTGTATGTAAATATGTACATAATACATATAAGCATTTTATTAAAACATTTCATTTCCAATAAATAAATTAAAGTTTCATGTTTAAAAGTTGTGTACTTATTTAATATAATAAAAAGTAGTTTTATATTTTATTTCTTTACGTGGTAGTGCCTAATTGCAGTTATATTATACCTATACCTATATTGAAGCACGAATGGGTCTGCTCGACTAGAGAAGAACCACGCTTTCACGAAATACTTTCTTAATACCCCTGTGTTTCGTATATGAGTGACTGTTGAGTAACCAATACCGTTTTTACTGGAAACGAGGCATTCCATTTGAACCCTCAGAGGTGATGACGCATCTGAATTTTTCTTATTTAATCGAGGATAGATGTAGATATGTATGGGCCACAATACCCAATTAACATCAGGTGGACTGCATGCTCGGTTCTGAAAATAACTTTACAAAAAAATTGAAAGAGGAAGGGGATAACTCCGGTGTGATAATAAAGGACGTTCTAAATTAATTTCATTTAATAATTTTTTACAAGAAATATATGTGATAGTCATTCTTAGGAAAACTTGTTAAACATAATGAATAAATGTGATAGCCACGCTTCGTCATGGATAAAGCATGTATGCATGTGCCACAGACGGTAATATCCATACCACACAGCATACCAGCGTGAAATAGCGATATGGTGATGCTGCGTGAGAAGAACGGAATACCTTTTTTCCTGGTAACGAATATAGCCTCAATTATAGTCCTCAAAGATGACAAGGCGTCTGCATTTTGACTATTAAGTGAAGATAAATTAACGTGTATTCGAGCTACAGTAACAACTTATCAGGTAGACTATGTTCATTTGTCAACAAACAGTTTATTCTTAAAGTGACTAAAATTATAATTTTTCTTATTCTTCTTCATGCCCTTGTCCCAAATTATTTGAGGACGATATAGCATGTCTTTCTCTTCCGTTGTTCTCATCATGCCTAATATATATTCGATCGATTTGTTCTATCTCTACTCTTAAAATTGTTTTTAAAATAATAATTATTACAATTATTAATTTAAAACTATTGCCACTGAGATCAAAATTGCAATGTAATCAAACTTTCTTTACTTAAATTACTTACGGTTCATCAATCTTTCGAAGTTTATTAACTTTTATCGCCACACTGTGGAATTGGGGTCGACTCACAGTCCTTTTATATTACTCTCTGCCTGTGGTCTAAATATTGTAAGTGTATCATTAAACGACTGAAGGTTCTTGGTTATTTTTTCAAAATATTTTTCTATTAGTATAAAGGAATTTTGCAGGGTTACACTCCATTTCACATGTATCATTAATCTATATAATTGACAAATAAATTGAATATGGTGGTCGACATATAGGGAAACTTCTAATACAAACTCTTTAAGAGCTCATTGGCGTATTGTTAAGAGTTAAGCTGAGGGAAACATATTTGAGGATTATCAGTTTTGTTGATTAGATGACACTGAAATAATAAATAGACTAAACTATAAATATCAGGTATTTTGTATGCATATATTATGTGAAATACGACATTTGTAACCAATAGCAAATAGAAAAATGAATTTTGAAAGATTAGCTTTTTTTATAATTTAGTGTTGGCCGTAAGACAATCTACCCCTAAGTCATACCGAATACTGAGGGATACTTAAACAGGATATAGGTTGCAGCATAGTCCTGATAAGAACTTAATAAAAAGAAAACTACGGTTAACAGGTACGGTTAACAACCTGCCTGCCAATCGTGGCAGTAACAACTTTTTTATATGATAGGTGACAAACGAGCACACGGTGCACCTGATGGTGAGTGGTTGCTGTGACCCATAGACATCTACATTTATCCACGTTTGCGAATCAAAAAGCAGTTGCGTTGTCACCCGTGAGGACTAAGATGGAATGCCTGTTTTCAAGTAAAAAGGGTCTCCAGTTCTCTACACTCACCATACGAAACACAGCAGCGTTAAGCTGCTATTTTACGCTGGTATTCTGTGAGAGCGTCGTCCTTCCTGGGTTCAGCCGACCCATTCGTGCTACAACTATACTACTAATATAGTTGCAGCATGGCTATACCACGTATAAAACTGTTACAAATATCCCTCCTATGTTTTAATTTATGGGGGAGGCTAATGTTTAGCAGTGATCTTTTGATAGGCTGTAATGAATGAATGATAATTTAGTGAGCCTATTATTAGGACGTCAAGTTCCTATGGCGATCAATAGTTGGCACAAGAAGATAGAATTTGATCTTAAATTTGATGACAAATACGGAGAAAATAATGTAACCCAAAAATTCAACATTACGAAAATTTATGTACAATGTTTGATTTCCGATTATATAATTGTGTTAATAACTGTCAAAATGTTAAAAAAACTATATTAAAAATAATGATATAGATTTGTACTCGCTTCATTCTATTACAATAAAAATAATTGTAGAAAGTGTTTTTCAAGCGTAATCATTCAATTAAGAAATACTGTGAATAATAAATTTTTTGAAGAAAAGTTTCCATACACTCTTGTAATCGCTCCCTCAAGTAGAAGCTATTTCGTAAGAAAATATCCAAGAAATATTTCAGTTCGCTTTAAACGGTTGCTACGGGTAAAATTGCTTATTTCGCATCTTAAGGTAAAGTGGTTCGCTGCTCTTTTCTAACTGCGTTTCGTGTAAGTTGGGCTTAGAAATGTTTACAAGACCTTTTAAAATGAAATAAAATAAAAATGTTGTTGTGCCTGCTTAATGTTACCTACGAGTACTTAATTATAGCACCAAACAGTAAACGATAGTGTTTAGGCTGGTAGGCCGGCTCGAGCCGGGTTAGTACCACGACCTCACAGAATACCGGCGTAAAGTGGAAGCTCTGCTTCCGCGTTTCGTCTGGTGAGTGCAGGTGACCGGAGGCCCAATCCCCTCCCCCATCAACATGGTAGCGGAATTACATCATAAACTACCCCAGGAGGGTACCAGTACCCCTGGAGAATCCCTCGCTGAGCATCCACGACCATGCTATTCCACTCCTGAGCGTGGGTGCTCAAGCTGCCCCGCGTATTCTGGGGGGTGGGGGCAAAATTCCGCTCAACACAATAACTGCTCGGGGCAAACTGAGCAACAAGACCAAGGCGACCCCTGCCACGCTATTCGTGAATTTCTGCAACATCAGGGGACTTCACTCGAACCTAAACGCCGTCCACTACCATCTCGAGACGGCAAAGCCGGCCTTGCTCTTACTGACCGAGACGCAGGTGTCCTCTCCGGCTGACACTTCGTATCTCTCCTACCCGGGGTACAAATTGGAGCACTCCTTTGTTCCTCGGGCTGGAGTTTGCGTGTATGTCAGAGAGGACATCTGTTCTCGACCCCTCGGCAGTCTTGAAGGTTTGGACCTGTCCATCCTTTGGCTACGCGTAGACAGCGACGACCATCTGCACGTCTACATGTGCCTCTATAGGTCCCATAGCGGTAATGCCGAAACAGACCGACTCATCGACCACGTCCAAATGGCTACAGATTCCTTAATACAACAGGTCCCATCCGCAGAGATCGTGATCCTTGGCGATTTTAATGCCCACCACGCCGAATGGCTCGGTCCACGTTTAACTGATCATGCGAGGAGATCTGTTTATGACTTTGCCTTGGCATATGG